TCTAAAAAGTAAGTGATCCATTGGAGTCACCAAGTCTCCGTCAATATTTTCTGTCCTACCATCACAAACATAAACATGTTTTTACAAAACTATTTAAAGACTTTACCTGGATCTTTGTGAACATTTAACGGCTCAGACTGAGACTTTTACAACAAACACATACAGAGGCACTAAATGGGAAACTGTTTTTCTTTTGAAGTTCTTTGAACTACCAGGACATGAAAAATATAACTTTAATCAGAATAGAAAAACAACAATAAAAAAAAGAAATACCATTGTTTTGTCTGTTTGTTTGATTATAAACCAAATCATACAGCTAAATCAACACAGAAATGGTTCAACAGACACACAAGCAATCTTCTTCTAATCCCGTCTCACTTCTCAGATCCAAATCCTGTTGGATTATCAGAAGAAATCAACCAGAAGAGAAAAGCCAGGATTCTGAATGGCAAAAAGAGAATTGCAGAGGAATCCTTAAAGATCCTTTTCTTCATTTGCTCCAACTTAGTAAAATCTGAAGCCATTGGCAAGTCTTTAACAGCAATAATCAAAGCTCTCACATGAGAAGCACATTTAATCCAGCATATACTATCCTATTGGGCATATGGACATGTGGAGCTAGAAGGACACACATTGAACTGTACCTAGGATACATTTTCTTTGTTCCTCTTCTTTACTTGCCAGTATTATTCCACTGCTTATTGATTTTTGTTTATATCATGTAAAGATATTTAAACACTCTTGTTGCTGAAATTTGCTACGAAAATACGTTTGCCTTGCTTTATGTTACTGTCAGCAAACTCCAGACCATATTCTGGCAACATCTGTGACACAGGTTGTAAAACCAAATGAGAAAAAAAAAAAAAAAAAAAAAAGACCATAACGTTGGGAACTTTAATTGAAATTCCATCTTCTATTTCAAACTAGCAGCTATCAATTTTTTCAACAGTTTTCTAACCAATATTTAATAGGACTGTGGGGAAAACAAACAAAACAAAAAAACTCAAGGTTTTTTTTTTTTTTTTCCAAAACACTGAACAACCTTGCAAAGAAATCCTTTTCAAAGGCAAACGGTAACAAAGCGGAATGATATTTTAAGGTTTCATTGAAACAAGGTTGCGGCGTCATTAGTAATCTTTAAAAATGACACAAAGTGTAAAGTGAAAGGTTCGAGCAGCAGCTAAGTAGGCTTCTGTTGTGACCTGAACAACAGCAGGGAATGACCCAGAAAGCTGGAGGAGGTGAGATGAGGAGGGGGAGGTTTTTAAATACACCACTGCTTTTTGTAGCAACACCACAGGACAGGCAGCAGCGGGACCGGCGTTCCCTACAGACTCCTTCATACAAGTGTTTGTACCATGCTGCTGTCAACTGTCCCCAGTCAGACATGACCTAATCTGGGATATTCACTTCATAATGATGTCATCTTTTCTTTGTACAGGAAGATTTAATGAAGAAGCTTTACATCCAACTCCTCTACGTTCAGCAGAACAAAACAGGGTCTCTGCAGATCTCAAATTCACCAGAAACCATTTTGGACTCTCACACACAATGCAGCCTTTGTTTCTTTTGAAGGATTAAATCTTCATGTTAATGGAGCAAAAAAGAACCAGGTTCCAACTTTTTATCTAGGCATAACTTTTAAGTAGTTTTCTTGTCAATAAAGCATCTTCTGGGTGCCGACATACAAAAAAAAGGCTTTAAAAATTCAGTTAGACAAGACATGGAGGCCAACAGGCCAACATTATGTATGTATGTGGTGCCAACATTATTCAAGCATTTTTAAAAGAAAGAGAAAAGATTAGAGGTGCAAAGTTTACAGACCTTTTATATATTATAATAATGGGAGTTGTTCACCGTTTTACTAGATAAGAAAATTTATTTTATTTTTATAGAAATTATGTAAGGGGCATCTCTAAATACTTATTGTTTTCCTATCATATTGCTCAGTTCTATTTCAAATATCAGCTATGTGTACTAATTTTAGCTAAATAAAGATCACTATGTGAAAAACTGATTGTTCAATGCAGTAAACATGGCTACACAGTAGCTAGAAGAGATAATGAAGATTTAGACCTTTTAGCCAGAGCCAAGGCCACAATAAACGTGACTATTTTTATCCTGTAACCTAAAGATTTTTTCTGTCAAGATCAGGAAAGGCTGGATGTTACTAACACTTTCCCTACAATAGAATTAGCTAGAAGGCAATGCATTAAACACGGCCTCCACAAGAACCAATACCCTGATGCACAATGAGGCTGAACAACAATACATGAACAATAAAGTCGCAGAGAAGCGAGTGTCAATTTATCTCCCAACAAAATAAATCTATTCTAAAGGTTTATTCACTGACAGAAATCATCCAAATTCTTATTTTCAATTGGATTAGATGAAAAGTGCAAAGATGTAATTAAATATTACGGTTTGCATGTGAATGTCTGCTGACAAAGTTTGGAAAACACTGTCTGAAAAGGACCAGAGCCACCTGGTTTCAAACTTCTGCTGCTACTTAAATGACACTGGTTACATCTTCAGCCAATTTGTTCAAATCTCACAAAGGAAAACTATAAATATTATATTTAGATGAGAAAACCAGTTTCAAGCTCCTTTCTAAGTTATGCTGAGGGTGAACCCATAAGGCTGAGGTCAGGACTCTTTGAAGGCAAATAAAGTTCATCCACACCAAACTTTATGTTCAACTTTATTTCATTTCGGTTCAAAGGTCAATTTTTCATTTTTGTTGATATTGAACATTAACAAACTCCTCATAGGGATTTTAAGCAATGAGCTTCAAACTTGGTCAGTATGCAGGTAAGGCGTATGAGATTTAAAGTTATCAAAATCGTGAGCTTTTGAGTATGGTGAAGGGGCACGGCCAGACCCCCAAATTAGCATTCTTTTAAAGTTATTTGAAATTCAATAATTTCTACAAAAGAAAATCCAAATTGAACCAAGTTTGAGAGTATTGATCCACTTAAGTGCCTGACGGTACTGGCTGGGCAAATGATGAAACCATCAAAGCCCCGCCCCCTGAGAGAAGAAGGTCATTTTTTTCCCTTGGGAGGTTCCCTTTCTGACACCTTTAACCCCATCAACATGAAGCCTGGTCAGTTAGGCAGATAACCTGTTGCTCTAACTTTGTTTTGGGCAAAGAGAGTTTTAGTTAACTTCCTTGATGGCTTGGTGAAGTGAGGCATTTTGTTTGTCTCAAAATCGCCATGATAGATCCTAGTCCTACCCCACACAGGAATCCAGCCAAATGTTGGGTGGGTGTGGCCTAATTTAAAACAGCTAGCCCCAAACCATGCTAAAACTGAGGATTATGAACCTTGACACACATGTGTATGCCTCCACGATGTACAAAAAAAGTATAATGAAGAAAGTCGGCCATAATTTAAAGGTGCCACTTTCACTCGTTTACTTTATGTTGTATCTGAGCAAGCTACTCCTAGAGCTTTTGAGTTACACACTTCAAATTCACTAAGCAGAACCTAATGGCATTGGGGATAAAAAGTTATCAAAATGTTTTTTTTTGCTGCGAAAATGCTGCTCGTCATACTGACAAATGTAAACCAGATCGAAGCCATGCTTTAACCAACGATTATGAAATTTGGGACACATGTATAACCCACCTGAATGCATAAAAAAGTCTCTTGGAACCATGGTCCAACCCTCAGAGGAAGTTGGTTTGGAAAAAATTTGCCATTTTCTCTCATTTACTCATACTGTATCTAAGCAAAATCCTCCTAGAACTTTTAGTTATAGAATTTAAATTCACTATCATAGACTTTAGAAATTGGGCATCAAAAGTTATTCAAGACATATTTCTGCATGGAAGCATGTGGGCGTGGCCAGGCATCTAAATCTGACCTCTCACCATACAACCTCATGGTTCCATATAATTTTCTTGTGTGTCTAATCTCAGACCACGATTCATCATACAACTGATCCTGAATTAAGTAACATTGTGTAGTTTTTAGTGAATGTTTTTTTCTGGGTAATAAGTGATAGTGAAAGCTGTAATGCAATTTTAAAAAAGTAAAACATTTATAAATCTATAACTTAAAACATTAATTTAACCAAACACTAATTTTTAATCCAGATTAAATGAAATCAAAATGGTCTGAGGTTGGAGTTGGACATCTGACTCCGCCCATACACAATCCTGACAGCTGCATCATGGACAATATAAAAAAAAAAAAAAAGGAACCTGTAGAACCTGCTGCTGTGGTTCTCACCAGAGAAAGTATTTTTGCAAAATAAAAGTAGACATATAGTATTACACTGTTTGTATTAACTTCTAATATTGTAAGGAATAGGACACAGTTGCACAAAAAAAGCAACAAAAACAAACAGAAAAACACTATTGCACGATCAAATCACCACGTTACAAAAACTAAAAGTACTTACTTAGTCTACTGATTAGTAAGAGTAAAGAGTTACTTTTAAGTTAAAGGTCAAGTGTTGTCATAATTTCAGATTTAAATGTGTCTTTTCTTCAGCTTTGAAAGCTTTTTCATCAATAAATCTATTTTTTTTTTGTAAAATAATTCTCATATTTAAAAAAAAACACTGTGATTATTTACTGAATATAGTAGGCTATTGTATCTGCAAATGTTTCAACAAAAAAAAGAGCAACAAGAAAAAACAAATTTGCCTGAAATGAATCCTCTGTAGGATTATACATTTTAGCGTTACTTCAGCTGTATGCAAACATACCTAAAGCATCAGAGTTTTACAGCCAGATGTGCGCAAACTCTTCTTTCTAAATGAAATACCTGCTTTAGTTCATATCCACACCCATAATCTCCGTTTATTTCCACCTAATGCAGCAGTTTGCACACAGGTTCATTCACCTCCTCTGAGATCTAACAGCTTCAGCTTCAGACTCTCTGCGATCTGCTGCTGTAAAACTTTTCTGCTGGGGAGCCGAGCCTCCAAAATAAAAGTTAAAGTTATCAAAGTTAAAACAATCCAGAAAAGCTGCAGAGGAAACCTACCTGGGTGAGAAGCAGACCTGGGAAAGAAGTTTGATTGCGCCGGGAGTTCAGTGTTCCTGCAGGACATCCATCTGGATCCGTCCAGCTGTCAAGTTACAAAAAGCAGGTTTCCGGTTGAACTTTCACTAGAAAAATAATGCAGCCGCTTTTGGCATTTACTTAATCATATTTAGTTACTTTAACACTTTTTTTTTTATATGTCCTACCCTTCTAACATGAACCAATTGAGTTAAAGTAACTTAATATAATTTAGTAAATGCCAGAAACGGCTGCATATTTTTTTATTATTATTTATTAATTATTTTTTTTCAGTGATTAAAGATGAAGCTAGGAAAGAGGATTTGGGCCACTGAAAAAAAAGGTAACTGATTTTTTACATTTTTTCTCAGTCTAATATGGGGAAAAAGTCAGAATCCTGACTTTAATCTCTGAATTCTGACTTTTTTCTCAGATTTCTCTGTTTAATCTCAGAACTCTGACTTTTTTCTCAAAATTCTGACTTTAATCTCAGAATTCTCATTTTTTTCTCAGCATTGCGACTTTTTTCTCAAAATTCTGACATTAATCTCTGAATTCTGACTTTTTTCTCAGATTTCTCAGTTTAATCTCATAATTCTGACTTTAATCTCATAATTCTGACTTTTTTCTCAAAATTCTGACTTTAATCGCAGAATTCTGAGATTAGAGTCAGAATTCTGAGAAAAAAGTCAGAATTCTGACTAATTTCCCATATTAAACTGAAATAAAATGTAAAAATCAGTTAACTTTTTTCTTTTTTCAGTGGCCCTAATCCTCTTCCATATAAAGCAGCTGCAACAAGCTGAAAAATGTTACACAGAATGGCTTTGTTTGTGAAGAATTGGTATATTTAAATATAACTTCTACATTTTAAATTTAACTATCAATTATTAATTGAAATAGATATCAGAATCTGATAACTAAAAAACAACCATATAAATAATAATAAAAGTGACAAGAAGTGAGAACTGAACAATTATCTTCATTTATTCTCCAACCTTTTCTGTTACAGTATGTTGTGGAATTTACACATATATTTATCTGTTTCAGTAAATAATGCATCTGTAAGTTTATCAACTTGTTTTTAATAGTAGTGTTTTGGGGAGAAAAAAAGATGAAATAAGTGTTCAATGCACATTCTAGGATGAAACAATCTTAAAACATGATGGCGCCGCAGATGGCAGCCACGGTGTGTTGGTGCGCACTTTTTAGCTTCTTTTTTCTATCTTATTTTGCTATTTTGCTATTTTGTTTTGTTTTTTTGTCTGCACCAACAACACCAAGTCAAATTCCTTGTAAGTGCAAACCTACTTGGCAATAAACTTGATTCTGATTCTGATTCTGATTCTGATAACTGTTAATTTAGGTAAGTCTTCCCAATTATTTACTTTATTTTGAAGTTAGAGAGGAAACTTCCTTTTTCTTCCTCATTCTTTCACACTTAACAGGAGCTAACGTCATTCTTTGGGTCCACTTATGCACTAAGGAGGACCCCACCCCCACAAATCTCAGAGAAGAAACGAGGGAAACTCTCATACAACACATTTGTTTATTGATTTTCTTTGGACAGCTGCAAAACCACAGACTTCTTATGCAAGTATTTTTTATGTAAATCTATAAAGGTTTTATGCGTCTGAAACAGTCTAAGCTCTTCTGTGAAAGGGATCTGCAGGTATGCCCTCTGGAAAGGTGTCTTTGTCTGGAATTTCTATTTAGAAATCCTCCCAGTTTGTGCACAGCTCCTCTGCCTCTGAGGAATAAAGAGCACATGTTGCACTTTGCAGAGGAAGGCTGACCTGTAAGGCAATACAGAGGTGTGAAAAAAGGAGAAATTAGTCACAAAACAAAATTAGATAAGTCCAGCTGATTATATCATACTTTAGGAATAAGTGGAGGGGTCAATTTTCTTTTGCAAAGTCCATCCCAGTTGAATCCATTAAACCACCTGAAGACAAACGGTGTATCTTATTAAATATTTAGTTTACAGGCAGTGCTCAGAATTTTTATTTGATGAAATGAATTCATGTTCTCACTTGTGCTTTTGAATGGCCTTGGCCCCGTTTGTCTGACTGACCAGCCTCTCTGAAGGTTTGCCCCTGGGTGATAGAAAGCAAAAAACAAACATAAATAATAACCATCTACTTCCTGTCCTCAAGTGATGGAAGATAACACTAAAACTTATCACAATACATTGACTGGGTTTGGCTTTTGTGGTCATGTTGAACCATATTCATACCTGCAAAGTTTTCTTATGAGATCGCAGGCATCTTTGCAGAATGATTCCGGGAATTCAGACTGATCTATGCCACAAACCGATGCTGAGAGAATCTTTACGGGGTCAGAACCATCAAATGGAAGCCTGGAGAAGAAAAAAATAATTCAATCCAGAACCATTGTTCGAAGTCAGAAAACACCTAAAACTTTTCAACATTTGGTCCCATTTGGTTTCATGTCTTTTTTTTTTTCAATTAGATTAACTGTGAAAGAATAAACAAAAAAAGCAGGGAATAATCATGATGTGGAAAGAAATCAAACATAATTTGTAACATAAGTGTTTTGTCAATAATTCGCAATTTTTTTTGTATTTTCAAAGCCACAGAGTTTGAGGTTGTCAGCTTTGCACATCCAACAAATCCAACAAAATTTCTCCATTTCATTTTAGTAAAATAGCTCTTTTCTAAAAACCTCTTTTAAATCCCCTGGTTTATAGTTTGATTAAGGTCTAGACTTTGACTAGGCCATTTTCAATGTTCTTCAGTGTCATTCTGCAGTCTCAAATCACAGATTTCTATTCATATCAGGTTGTATCCTTTTGCTTAAGTCTGTGAATAATAACATCAGTAAGTTAGTCTATCGCATGAAATTCCAACAAGGGATGACATAGTTTGACCAAATGTGGAAAAGATCAAGATGTGACCGCTCTACAAGCCTGCTCCATTTCACTTTACTTACATCACCACAGTTTAAAACAAAGCATTGTTTCTAAAGCGTAGAAAACTTACCTACCGCTGAGAAGTTCAAACACAAAAACACCCAGTGACCAAAGGTCTGCTTCTGTACTGTGTCCTCTGCTCAGGATGATTTCAGGAGCCATGTAGCCCAGCGTCCCGCAGAACGTCCATGTCCTCTTACCCTCCTCAACCCTCTTCAGACATCTGGAGCTAATCTACAGTAGACATCAGTACAGTCAGTATTGCCCACATCCCTAAATAAAATGAAGCAAACAGAACACGGAGGTGAGGTCAGTTTGTAGTTACCAGTTTACCATAACCCTGCTCATCCAGAACAACATTTTCAGGCTTGACATCTCTGTAGACGATTCTCTGAGAGTGGAGGAAACTCAACGCTTCGACAACACAAGCTGTATAGAACTTAGTGCTGGTTTCATCTAAATTTCCCCTGAAAAATAATGGAGAAGTTCTCAAGTTGAGCAGAAGAAGAAACTATTTCTTTTTATAAAACAAAAGGTTGTGATTCACTGAACCAAAATAAAATAATATATGCATTAGTTCAAATCTGTAGATTGATGTTAAAAGAAGACAAAAAAAAAAATCAAATAACAGGTCAGGTTGGTGTAGTTTAACATACTCACTTTTCTTTGAGTAGACGGGACAAATTTCCACCCAGACAAGCTTCTGTCAAACTATAAAGATGCTCAGCATCTCTGAACGTTTTGTATAGTCTGTGATCAACAGATAGAAAACAGTCTTACAAAGTAGCCCTTCCCCATTAATGTTTTCCCATTGCTCTCACATTACAACCACTTACTGACTTATGTTAATATAGGGATGTCCTGATCCTATATTAATATCGGATATCGGTCCAAAATTAGCCAAAAGCTGATATTGGATTTCATCAGCCAACATCTAAAATCTCTGATATTTTCATGCTGATAGAAACACTTCTGTTAAAAGTTTCTGTAACTCATTGGTTAATTTTATATGGGTCAGTTGTTTTCATACTTTTTTGTTGTTGACTTTTGTTCCCTGTTTTATTAATATTACTTGTGTGATTCATGCTAGTATCGTATCGGGTCAATATTGGTATTGGACAATTCTCAAAGCTGAAATCTCAGTATCGGAAATGAAAAAGTTGTATCTGGACATCTCTATATTTAAATGGGGTTTTTATGTGGTCGACAACACAAGCTGTTCAAAACTGCTGACATAAACTGAAAAGTGTGGCAATCACTTGTTTTTTAGGTCCTCAGTTTGTTGTCATGATCTGTTTTTGTTTATCACTTGATTATATTTTGCTGTTTATATTTGTAAATAAACAGCATGCTGTTTGATGTGGTGGAATGGAAAAAAGTTTAAAAGGGTGTTAAGACTTTTGCAAAACACTATAACCAGTTGAAAAAAGTCACCTGACTAGGAATGGACAGCGGGCCTCCATCAGGATGCTGCGCTCTCTCAGAATATGCTCACGCTGACCGCTTTTCAGGATGAGCTTCTTCTTCAGGACCCTCATGGCAAAAACACACCTGATGTTTCTTCTCAGCTGCACCTGAAAGCAATGAGAGAAAAAAAATTCAATACATAGGTGTGTGGAAATGAGGAATATCAATGAGGCAGGAGCTCTGGGATCTGTGTGATTACGAGTGGGCTGCTGCAAGATCAACTCTTTACCAAGTCTACGTGACTAAACTCCCCAACTCCCAGAGTACGAATAATCTGAAAATCGCTTAAGGTGGAAGATGCCAGGGAGGCAGGATCCCCCTTGGACCTGTGGAGGAAAACACAGATGAAATGGTGTTTGTTGTTTTCCGTGGGCATAAAACAAGACTGTGCTGCACTGCTCCTCACTCGATTTTTGATTCATCGCTCTGCTGCAGCTTTGGAGGGCTGTCAGATCCAGAACCTTCGATAACATCTCTAAAGGTCCTGAAACACAAATAAATAATGAATGTTCTTTGTGTATCTGACAAAAAAGATTCACAATAAATAAATGCATTAGAGAATATAAACTGAAGCAGATACACTCAAAATGTATCTCATGAGCTCAGAAAGCCTTCAGCTTACCATCTGTCTATGACCAAGCATGTCACCTCACCAACAGCCACAACATTTACAGACCAAGTGGTTTCTCTGAAGGCAGAAAAAAGGATAATCATAAGAATTTAATTACAATTTGTATTTATATTTTTAGAAGGAATGGAATGTATAAACAAAAGTATTTTAGTTCCCAAACTATCCTTTAACAAGGCAAGGGCCTATCTCTCTTTTATAAGTAGTGGCTGATAGCTGCTGAAAGTTTGTATTTTCCAGCATTAAATAATTTGTTTGACAACATTCCCTGAATTGGACTATACTCAAAACAACAGCAGAGTCCAGATCTTTTTTATGATCGCAGAGAGCAGAATATTAACAAATACACACAAACAAAAAACAACAAAAACTTGAGCAAGAGCTCATCAATTATTATATTAAGTGAACCAGAAAGTCATGGTTGTAGACCAGTGATCTAACGAATAAAAACCATGATGCAATATTAATACGACTGGAGCTTAAAGCTGACTGCAGTCTCTGAAAAACTGTAATAGAGTCAACTGTAAAGGAAAAATGTAAAATTGGTCCAACAGAGAAACCGGTTCCTATCCTCTCTGTCGGAGCTTAATAAATTATAAATGATTTAGTATTACACTGAAAAAACTGATGTAAGAAATATTGTTCTAATTTTAAATGTAAATCATCTTTCGCAGATTGTCTATCACACTTCTTCGAATAAAGGGCAAAAATATATCAATATCAGTTGGCTCACCCATATTTCAATTTTTGCAGTGTACGTTTTTAGTCCAAGGGCCAGGATCAGGTCTACAGGGGCACCGGCCCCTCTTAGCCCCCATCTAGAACCGTCCATGTGTAAGATCCTCACTACTTAACTGTATGTAAGTAAAGGTTATATAAATGCATTTACTCAAAGGTTCAGACTAATCCAACCGGAGGTAGAAGGGAAAGATTAGGATGATGAGTATGAACTTAGACACTCTCATGGCCAAGTCTATCATAAACAATAGATTCCTGCAAGCTATATTTCACAGCTCAACGTGAGGAACGTTTTACAAGCAGCCTTAAGCGTGAACTGACTTCTCCAATCATCTGAATGTTGGAGCTGAAATTAAGACTCAGACCAGCTGTCATTTTTACCACCTCAATGCCTAACTTTGGTGCAGCCGTCTAATTCGTAATTTCACTCTGTTTTAGCTATAGTAGCATCCTGAACATGTCTGCATATTCTCTTCTGAGCTCAACGTCCTCAGAGATTTTTTTTCATCCGTGCAACAGAAATGTATGAACAGTGCTTTTCTCTTTTTCCAAAAACCATACCATGTACAAAATGACTCAAATCACTGTTCTTTCCCATCCTGATTATCTGTTTGATTTTCACTCAACTTGATCAGTGATTTGTGGCAATAAGTAATTGGTGTACCTCTCAAAGAAGCCAGTTTGTTTAAATATTTAACCTAAAGTGTGTATCTGCTGACATCTGTCATGTTCAATGAAACACTGTTCTTTTCTTACCCCCAAAGAGCTTTCTCTCCAAACCATTGTCTCTCAGAGAGCTGAGCCAAAACTGTCTGCTCCTGGCGGCCGGGCTTCTTCTCCATCACACTCACCTAAAGAGAAAATGGTGATGAAAACTGCAGAGAAGATGTGCAGTCTATTATCCCCATTATAGTAGTCATTATTTTATGATGGAGATGAACACTGCAGACAAGAGGCAGACTCTTTCATCCCCATCATCAAATTATTCCTAAAGCAGCTCTGACATTTGGACTCAGTCTAAATCTTTTTCTTTGAAAGGCTGCTTCTATGTGAGCTGCTGTTAGAGGGCATTTAACTTTACCTGGCCTTTGCTAATGATATAAAAGCTGTCTCCAATGGCTCCCTGACAACAGACGTAGTCACCATCTATGTAACTCGTCTGAAGTTGGGAAAGAAAAGAAAGGGAAAAGTACAGTTTTGAGGCTGTTGCACCTACATTTCACAGCTGTGGCAAAATGAAAGCTAAAAAAAAGGTTCAAAATCTGTTGACGAGAACAATCTGTACCTCTTCCACATGCAGAGACAGTTTTCTGATGACATTGTCTGGCAACGACTCGAGAAAGGGAATGCTGCAGACAAAAAGAAGCTCCAACTTTCATATTACATTCCCCAAACTAATATATCAACAAAAAATGTCTCACAGGCAAAAACAACAATAGAGCTCCAGGAAGAATAAAAGGGAGCAGACAATATTTAGAATATCAGTCTGATGTTCACCTTCTCAGCAGCTCCACTGAATGAGAAAGGCGTCTGAGGCCGCATTGTGTGAGCGCGCATTGGAAGCTCCTGCGGTCGATAGCCCACAGCTTGCTGTCTGTTTGTGCTGCACATCAAAAGACAGAGGCAAGGGGAAAAGATAAAGGTTGTGTCAGTGACACAGGGGCGCTGATATAAACACAACAGAGAATAGCAGACCGACACTGCCTGCGGCGTCTGGGGCTGAGGAGCCAAAGTTCAGCTGTGCACTAAAATCAGCCAGTTTAGGTCAAGGCTGCCTTCAAAATTTCTCCTTTTTCAGTCCCAGAAAGGACACTGAAGATAAATCTAATCTAATTCCCACCGCCATAAATACCCTCTTTCTATATAATAGAGTTTGTAAGTGGTGTAAATTAATAATGTGCCATATTGATTGGTTCACGGAAGCTTCCTGCAAACGGAAGTAGATGTCCTCGAGACGCTTTAATTACAGCCAATATCTAATAAGATGGCTTAGCCCTGATATCTTAATTTCCCCGTTTGAACAGTCTGAGCTCCTAATTCATCACCACATGACATCTCATTTATGCCTACTGCTTTTTATTTCATACCTATCAGGTCATTAAATGCAGATAAAAATAACATCAGCCTTTCTCGGTGCTCTTTTCTCCCCTCTTTTCTTGTATGCGATTCTGCAAATATCATTTCAATAAACTTTAACTATTTCCCAAATAGTCACAATGCAGCTGCAATCTACAATGTATTCTATGTAGTATGGATAAACCAAATAAGTAAAGAATTGTGAAGTTGAAACTAGATGCAAATACTGGCAAAATTATGTTATTTTTAGCTCAATTTCCTAAAGAAAAGATTTGTCAGAATAAATCCAGCTGTTCAGTAGAAGTTTATTGGAGAACATTAGCGAACACCTTGTAGGGGTAATGTGCTCCTTCACATATTACTATCAACTAACCATCCTTGCAATAAAACACAGTGGTGGCAGCATCATGCAGTGGGATTGTTTTAATTTAGCAAGAAAAAAGAGGCAGCTTAAAGCTGACAGGAAGACAGGGGGAGCTAAATATACAATAATCCTTCAAGAAAACATGTTAGAGTCTGCAGAAGATTCACCCTATGCCAGTGGTTCCCAACCCTTGTCCTCTGGGACCCCTGCCCTGCTTATTTTAATTATGTCCCAACTCCAGCACACCTGATTCAGAGGAGGGCTCCTCTGCAATCAAGAGCTGCAGAAGCCTGTTGATCATCTTTTCTGGGGTGATGCAACAAGGAGACACCTGAGGGTTGGGAACCACTCCCCTATACCATTACAAGACCCCAAAACATACCACCAATGTCCTAGCAAATCTAAGACAACTAAGAAGCTATTGTTCACAGAGTCTCTACACCGAAATAGGCTTTAGCTATTATTATAAAAACAATTCCAGCTTCTATGAACAAAGCTGACCTGCAGCTGCAATTTGCAGAGAAAAACTGCTTCTACTGAGCATTGACCTACTGAGGTTGAATATGAAAACAAGCCACAGGCAGCATTTTTAAATGTAGAAAAAAAAAATTAAACATGAATCCCTTTTAGGTTGAAATAGTGGTGCATTTGTTTGCAATGCTGCCTTGCAGCAACAGCGTTTTGGTTTCAAATCCCAGGTGTGCAGCTTCTGCTTGGATTGTCCATGTCCTCCCTCTACATCCGTTCTTCTCAGGTACAGTTTCATCCCACAGTCCAAAAATATGTAAGAGAGGTTAATTTGTCTCTCTAAATTGCTACTTGATTTAAGTGTGTGTGGGTGTGTGTATGGCTGTATGACAGACCAGCGACCTGAACAGGGTGTCCAGCCCTCTCTTGCTTACTGGGGTTTTTCAAAATGTCTTCATTACTTTGCATCCATTAAAAAATACAAATAAAACATATTTAATGTTTAGATTGTGATGTGAATACTTGTGGATAACATTCAAAGGGTTTAGTATCCTTCTATCTAATTGTAGACTTCCTGAAACATCTGCTCCAGTATCACTACACCAAAGCCTCGAGGACAGATTCAAACGCAAAGAGAAACTATTTTCATGTCAGGAAGGAGATAAGCACTGTGGGCCCTGAGCGAACCCAAAGGGAAGGGATGACAATAATGGGCAGTGAACAAAAGAGAACAGGCTGTCACTGTGAGCTGAGTACTGTTACCAGAGAGCAGACAGATAGCGGTGAGTGGTAAATTGGAATGGCTGGCTTCTCTCAAGCAGCTGAAAGACAGAATTAGAGGCTCAGCGATGGCAAACAAAGTGAGATTTCTTCCCATTTACACTGATCCTAGCCATTTTCACAGCCTGTTTACCCACATCTAATAGATATTTATTTGTGAAAATACACCAAATACCCTTGGTGATGGCTAGGAAAGTTATTCCAGAGGGCACTGAGATCAGATGACAGGAGAAATGACAGATCAACATCTGTATTTGTAAATGTTCTGACTAATGCAGGGTTGCAGGGAAAGGTGGTAAATGATTGAAATTCTACACATCCCTAAGAAAAAACCAACCAACATGTGAAGCGGCATTGCTGTCTAAGATTTCAAAAGGTTCTTTTATTTTAAATTCCAAAGGCATCCTCTGTCTCACACTGCACCAGAACTCTGCATGCTTTTAATTTTCAGGGTCATTATTTATATTCCTTCTTTTACAGTTTAAATCAAAACGGGATCTCAGCAGGCTTCCGTACAACAATTGTTGGCACAACCTTTACCTGAGACGGAGTAGGTGTGGGTCCAACTGTAGAGGAGTGTCACCTCTCCAAACATGTCCTCTGGCTCAAAGGTGAGCACCTGCTGGCCATCTTTCCTCACATCCAGTCTGCCTTCTAGCAACAAAATGAACTAATTACACATTATCTCACAGTTGGAACATTCCCACATTTAGTTATATTAAAAATCCCACCACACATATATATTTTATTTTAAACTTTAAACTGGAAGAGATATTATGCTTGTTTTTCATAATTATTATCAAATATTATCTGTGTTGTTGACTAGATAAAGAATATACACTGCTCAAAGAATAAAGGAGACACTCAAATAACACATACTAGATCTGAATGAATGAAATATTCTTATTGAATACATTGTTCTGTACAAAGTTGAATGTGCTGACAACAAAATTACACACACACACAAAAATGTCTTACTCAATGGAGACCTGGATTTGTGGTCACACACAAAATTAAAGTCGGAAAACACTCTAGAGGCTGGTCCAACTTTAATTTAATGTCCTTAGAACAGTTCAGAATGAGGCTCAGTATTCTATGTGGCGTCCAGATGCCTGTATCACCTCCCTGCAATGCCTGGGAATTCTCCTGATGAAGTGGTGGATGGTCTTCTAAGGGATCTCCTTCCAGACCTGGACTAAAGCATCCGCCAACTAGTGGACAATCAGTGGTGGAACTTAACGTTGGTGGATGGACTGAGACATGATGTCCCAGACTTGCTCAATCGGATCCACATCTGGTGAAAGGGCAAACAGGCAATAGCTTAAATGCCTTTATCTTTCAGGAACTGCTGACACACTCCAGTCGCATGAGGTCTAGCATTATCCTGCACTAGGAGGAACCATGGCCAACTGCAACAACATATGGTCTCACAAGAGGTCTCAGGAACTCATCTCTTTACCTGATGGCAGCCATGCTAGCTCTGGCGAACACGTGGAGGACTGTGTGGCCCTCCAAAGAAATGCCACCCCACACCATTACTGACCCCCTGCCAAACCGGTCATGCCACCCCACACCATTACTGACCCCCTGCCAAACCGGTCATGCTGAAGGATGTTGCAGGCAGCAGATCGCTCTCCACAATGTTTCCATACTCTGTCATGTCTGTCACATGCGCTCATTGTGAACCTGCTTTCACCTGTGAAGAGCACAGTTTTCTAGTAGTGGGGTTCTCTGGCAGGTGCCAAGTGTCCTGCACGGTGTTGGGCTGTGAGCAAAACCACCTGTGGACGATGGGCCCTCATACCGTCCTCTTGGAGACAGGTTCTAACAGTTTGTGCAGACGCATGCACATTTGTGGGATGTTGGAGGTTATTTTGCAGGACTCTGGCAGTGCTCCTCCTGTTCCTCCTTGCAGAAAGGTGGAGGTAGTTGTCCTGTTGATGGGTTGTTGCACTCCTACAGCCTCCTCCACGTCTCTTGGTGTCCTGACCTGTCTCCTAGTAGCGCCTCCAGCTTCTGGCTACTACACTGACAGACACAGCAAACTCCCTTGCCACAGCTCACATTGATGTGCCATCCTGGATGAGCTGAACTAGGCCACTTGTGTGGGTTGTAAAGTCATTCTCAGGCTACCAGTGTTACCACTGCTTCACAGCAAGAAATCAAATATTGGCCAGAAAGCATGGGTTCTGAGAAATGTTCCGTGGTCCTCACCTGCAGAACCACTCCTTTATTAAGTGTGTCTTGCTAATTGCGCATATTGCCTATAATTTCCGCCTGTTGGCTATTCCATTTTTAGAACAGCATGTCAAATTAATGGCCACTCAGTGTTCCTATGTGGACAGTTTGAATTCACAGAATTTCGATTTTATTGAAATTATACTACATTGTTTATATGTTCCCTTCATTTTTTGAGCAGTGTAGACATGTGGACCTAACTGCAAAACAAAAATGCTTTACCATCTACATTTTAGGTTTCAAAAATGTTCTCATATATTTTCTTTCATTTATTTTAGTACTTGATGATTTAACTAATTCCTACTTGATATTTGTGCATTGTTAATATTCTGTTAACTCAGATTTCTAATTTAATCAGTATGTTTTAGAAACCAGTAGGCCCACTGCTTTCTACCATACCATCACATCTATTTTATATTTTAATGGGGTTTTTTCTTGCAACATTGAGGTTTGTGGCTATAATGTGACAAAATGTGAAAAGCATTAATTATAAGTAGCATTTTTAATAACAGTAATAGTGTGTGGTCCTGTTTTTCAAGAGTCTAGAGCCTTGAAACATGAGATGAGAAACATGAGATGTGCTGACAGCCTATAAGCAAAGACTCCTCTTCAGCAAACTCAGATGAACCATTTATCTGCTGCTTCTTTTGAGGTTTTGTTTTTGGTCCACTCCACAAAGCCTCAAACTCAACGCTATTTCTGACATTTTGAAAAAGCTTTCACATTTTGAATTGAAAAAGCTTCCTAGATGGGAATTGAAACGTCTTCAAACTTGGAAACAAAGTCCAGTGGATTGTTTTTTTTTTTTTTACTTTTTTGGAACTGCTTCTTTAAAGTTTCATCCCATAATAAAAGTGTTTCCCTTTCATTTTCTCCCAGGTCTGTCTGATGTATAAATTTTGCTTTAGACAGACATCTGGTTGTCCAGTTAAATCAAAAAGAATCAGTAAGAGAATGCAAATTTAAAGTGAACTTGATCATGTCTGGCAGTACTAGAGCACCACTAAGATCTACTATGTCCTCATTAGCATTTTAATGCTGTTGATCATAAGAAGAAAAGTACCAACCTTCTAAAACAAAGGCCTGATCCCCAGAGGATCCCTCCTGGATGACAAAGCAGCCCTGATTGATAGCGGTTCGCTGCATGCAGGCAGTGACTGCCTTGATTTCTTCTTCATCGAGGTTCTTCAACAAGTCATTTTTCAAAAACGCTGCCTGGATCAGCCTTTGAGATCTGAGGACATGAAAATATGACAGATGTCACACTGTTGCTCATTAATCACCTTCAATGCGGTCTGATGGAGGCTTAGAAGAGATCTAAAAATGATACTTGTTGATTAGCAGTCAATGACAGTGAGAGCTTTGCTGGTGTGAACTGAGGCAACAGTCCGTGCTCTTACTCCTGGCTTTTGTCACAGCTTCTGTGAGAAACCACAGCGAAAGTCATGAGTTCTGGAGTGATGGGCTCCGAAATGACTGTCTGCCTTTTTGTAATCCGGTTGTCCTCAATTTGAGCTGCAGAAGCTATAGAAGGAGGAAAAAAAACACCCATCCATTTCTAGGTCAGGATTAGAGCTTGTGGCACTTGTTGGACCCAAAATATCACAGACTGAAGCATCAAGCTCCGTCTACCTGCAACCACTGTAGAGGGTCCAGGGAGGGACAGGGCGGCTCTGTAGCGGTCCAGTTCTTCTTGCAGTCTACGGATGAGTTCGTCCTTTGTGTCCAACTCCAGCTCTAACTCATCTATTAGTGTGTCCCTCTGTCGAAGCTCCTCAATCTTTAGCTGCAGTGCAAACTGGAGGTCGCGAAGAGTACCCATCCCCTAGATAGATAGATAGATAGATAGATAGATAGATAGATAGATAGATAGATAGATAGATAGATAGATATAGATGACATACTTATATTTTACGTTATGGTACAGGACACTTAAGGCAATAGAAATGGAATTGCATTGACTATAGACATACTTGAACAAAATACAATGAAATAAATCCACATATATGATTTCTAACTACACACACAATCATGTTTCTTACCCTGTGCAGCCTGAATATCGTTGCAGGGGGGTTTGTCTCACTTGTATCCTGCAGGTTTGTGCATGTCTAACATGCGACAGGTGTACATCCCTTCTTTAAGCAGCCAACTGAAGGAGGATGCTCTTCTCTCCCGCTGGCCAAGGCTGCACAGACAGCGCAAGCAGCCAATCACATGACCCACACTGTCCGAGAGAGGGAGGGGGGTAATGACAAATGCATGGACTGGATCCGAACTGGGTCAGTGGGTCCTTAGAGAGAGTTTGAGGAGCCCCTGGGGACGATCCACCAGACTGAGAAGAGAACATTAATCATTTCACTAAAAAGAAATTAAAGGCTCCGCTGTGTGCTCTGACAGACTTTTCTTCCTGTCCTCTATTAGTGTTTACTCTAATTTTTTATTTTATTTCATGTTTACTTATGTGTAATTGGGTTTTATATTATTGATGTACAATAATAAAGAATAACAACGAAAAGCAAAAATATTTAGATGTTAACTTAGATAGATTATAGATAGAAGCATAGATTGGATGATCTTTGGATTAAACACAGGCTGTAATAAAGAAATAAAGTAAATAAAAATATTTATGTTTCTTACACAAAAGGTAAATCGTCTAAGGAAAAAATACATACCTCAGAGGCAGCAAGTGGTTTTAAAGATCACTTAATTTTCCATTAGTTTGATTTCTATACCACTAATTCAAAATATGTTTTGATTAAAACCCCATTACAAACAAACTAATGAACCCTATTAATATCTGCATTATATACCCTATATAATAAAATGTTATCAAATCATATATAGATGTTTTACATTCCTTAACCTACACTTTAAAACAATCCTATAATTAAATAAAAGACTTATAGTGATAGGTCTTTTCTGCCCTTTTTGTTTGTTGGCAGAAGTATTCATTTTTATTTATTTATTTGTTGTTGTTTTTTTTTGTTTTTTGTGTGTACACGTTAACGGTCGTAACCCCCTATCAAAGATTATGTTTCTTTAAAAAAAAAAAAAACACGAATTATTAATTCGTGTAGAGGTGCATCCTTCACGGCAAGAGCCGCTCCGCGGTCTATATTATCCAGAGATTCACACTGTATTTAATTGTTGATATTTAGGTAATTACTAAGTCTGGCCAGAAGGTGGCGGTAAGTGTTCCTTCAGAGGCGCTGTTACTGCTGTGGTGATACTGGAGAAGAAGATGGGCAACTGATAAGCGGTGCAGCAGTTTTGCCACGAATTACACTAAATTTATTGAGGAAGTTTACGTATTTAACCTAGTAGAATATTGCTTTTGAGTTTGGTTCGTTCTGGGTTTTAAAAAATGATCCTCACAGTCAAACCGCTCCAAGGAAAGGAGTGCAGCGTTCAGGTAACTTACCGCTAACCCTAGACACAGCTAATCCACGAGTTTGGCTAACAGTGGTGCCTCTCTAATAGGTTGATGTTACCCCTAAAATAATCAACTGTTCTTTTTTTGATGTATCAATTGCTTTACTTACACCGCTTATGATAGTTAAACTCAAGTGGTTGGCTTATACTCTATAGCCTATAGTTAGCATGCTAACTATAGCCACCTGAAATGTTTCTTCTTCTTTCTAGAAGCCTTTCTTTAGTGGACACTCATGTGACCTCAGATGGTCGTTGAAGTCTTTATTTTATACTTTTCTACTGAAAGATATTCTCTCAGAGTGACGTATATTAAATGTAGGAAAACGTTTTAGTTTGTTTACTACTTTAATGCTGGATAGTTTTGTCATTGGCTTATATCATTCAGTTATATGTCGTGCCGATGTACATTTCTTAAGTTTGAGTTTCATATCTTGGACGGATCATGTTTGAAATGTTTCCATAAACAAGAAATAGCCTTTGCAGAAGAAGTGATACAGCTACTTTAGTGATGATTGCTGTTGGGTAAAAGATGTTTCCATGAACACAAAGGCAAAGATATGACAAGGTTTCACAAGAATCAACTTATTTCATCATAAAACAATACTTTTTAAGTTAAAATTTGGGCAGCGTCAACATTTGAAAGTCATTTGAAGTCATTCATCCACCATTTACATGAAAAGCTGTAAAATATTTTAATAAATTTCCCAACTTGTTTACATAATTTGTAAGATGTGTGAATTCCAATACCATACAATGTTCTTGAAGTGTTGTTCTTGTTTTTGTTTTGTTTTGTTTTTTTATAAACGACCCCAAATTTTAACATAGTTTATTTCACCATTACAAAAAGTAATAACAAAGAAGATTATACTTGTAAAAACAGCTGAAAATGAATCAAAAACCGCTATTAGAATTCATTTTTGATATGCAGGCTAAAAAGGCCTGAACTTATTTGGTTTTTAATCAATTTTCTTTTTTCATGTTTGCTTGTAAGCAATTTTGCTTCTAGAAATCTTAAAAAACTAGTATTGTTGCCATGTCTCCTTTAGATTTGTCACCATACAAAAAATTCTAACTCAATTTCTTTACTATATATATGTTCGATAGTGGATACCATGTTTGATAGCAGGGAATAAAATCAGAATTATTAAAGGCATAAAACATATTTATTGACAAGAAGACAACAAGACACTTTTAATCTCAACATGGTGCATACTTTCCCAACAGAATAAGAGATTTTATTAGTTAAATAAGTGTACAAATAAATGTAAGGCAATGCAAGTTTATTTGTATAGCACAATTCAGTACAAAGACATTTCAAAGCGCTTTAGTAGAGATAACTACATGAGAAAAACAGTCGGACCACAAACATAAATTCATTTTTTGAGGTATTATTCTTTTTATATGTAAACAATGTATCCGGGTACAGTGTTTGAGTATCGATACTTTTGACATACCTACTCTCCTTTATGCTGTCATAGGGAATCTGTTTTATTTTTTGGGCTGTACGGACCAAGCATTGGATTTATCTTTATAGAGATCCGAGCACAAACACTGAATTGAGCGCAACTTTTATTTTTTAGCATCTTCAAGTTCTGTGATAAGGATGTAGTTTGTTTTTCTCTTTAACCCTCCAATCATTTTTCCCATAGTGTCAGAAATGCATAACTAGCTTTAACGAGGCAAGTTTCATTTTAAATTTTTGAAGTTTAAGACAGTGGGGATGTGAAAGCTGTGAACTGTACTGATTTTGAAACTATGATATGTACTATACCAGTTAATAAGTCAGAGATCAAAATTATTAAATTTTACTATATAGAAAAAATATCCTCCATTGGCAATCTGTAAATGCATCTACTTAGTAAAAGCACCTGCATACATGTAATTTGCACTTTTTTTTGCACATTTGGTTGTTGGATCAAATTTACTATAAAAGTTAGAAAAATATTCTTTAATTCAAAATTTAGAATAACCCTATAGAATACACAGCCTGTGTCAAGGAACCTGGTAACAGCTCTTTTCTATATTTATCTTGGAAAAAAAAAGACAATAAAAACAACCTAAAGGGGCAGGTCAGACATTGATAGTGTAATAATTGCAAACTTAATATTGATACCCAGGAAAATATTTGATACTGGTAAATATAATTTTCAATACCATGTTTATATTAAAATTGAAAGCTTTTTTTCATTTTGTCAACATGCTTTCTCAACATAATCTGATATGTTAAATAAATACATGTAAAAATAAACAACCCAAAATATGTTTTAAATGTGCAAATATTCCAGAAATCTAAAATGAACAATAGCAAAATATGTAAACAACACTTGTGTTTAGTAAGAATGCCATTTCAAATCAGTGTTTTGATATCAATACTTTTCAAGTATGATGATAAAGCAAATACTTCAATTTGTGTGAAAGCTGGAAAAACCGGACAAATGCATTTCTTGTATAGAGGTTAGCTGTATTGTTCTGATTGGAGGCCGGCTCTGAGGAACGTAAGCCTCTGCAGTCCAGAATACCCCATGATTGTCATTAAAACTTTTAAAGTTAACTAATTCACATGTTTCAAATTTGCTAGTATAGTCTCTCCACATATTTTCCTTTCTAAACACTTGACAACTGATTAGTTTATTCCTCAGGTCTTCCAATGTATTTACTAGCACAGTGCTGGGTGAGCTCCAGGCTAACATTAAACTTGCAGCCAGATTCTGTCCCATCTGTCACATCTTTTCCTTTGTTTACAGCAGCAGTTATTTCTGAAAAAATATGCAAGATTTTATATCAGCCCTCTAAACACCACTGAGGCCACTAAATGTTTATTATATCCTCCACTAACAATGGATGATATAATAAAGTTGGCTTACATTTTCCAAGATGTGTTAGGACGCCTTCCTGTGAAATGTTTAATTTATGATCAGTTCATCAAATATTGCAAAACGTGAAGACAATATTAATTATTTGCACATATTCTATTTGTACAAATAAGTTTTTTTTTTTTATTAACTTCATTTGAAAGACGTGACTAAAGCTTATTTGTTTCTACTTTTTTTTTTTAAAAAAATGCATAGTTTTGTTAAAACAAGCTTTAATGATTCACAGCCAAAAATCCAGACTTGTTTATTTGCATACAACCAAATGTTTTGCATGAACAAATATAGATAACAAATGTATAGCCTTTTTCATAAGTGAGAGGGAAAGTATCGGGTACATCACAAAATTTAAATATTTAGCCCATTTGTGCAACAGATTCCAATTATTTGTAATCAATATTAAAAATGTAAATATGAATCCTTTAATTTAGTTGGAGGAGAAGTGCGGTGTTCAATGTCGTAGAAGTTTTCATTACGTGATCATCATACCCTTCATTGCCACATGTGCAGCGAAATGAAAAGCTTGTGTATCCCTGCTCAGAGCTGCTGTGTCTGATTTCTTTCATCAGTGAGTCAGATAAATATGAGCTATTTAGACGTCGCTCTGAATCTCTTGCTGTGAGATCAGTATCTGGGTAAACATCAGAGAGATAAAGCAGAAATAAGACACGAAGGATAGGAATCAAGAGACGCTGTGACTAAACCATTGTGCTGTCGATATTGCAGGTTACTGAAGATGAGAAAGTCTCCACGGTGAAGGAACTTGTGTCTGAAAGACTGAATATTCCTGCAAACCAGCAGCGGTTACTCTACAAAGGAAAGGCCCTAGCAGGTAGATTAACTCACCAGTAGCTCAAACTGATCTATCCTAGCATCACGCTCTTTTGTAGTTTTTGGTAATGGATTGTGATGTTTCTTTCTCTCAGACGAGCACAGACTGAGCGATTACTCCATTGGGCCAGAGGCTAAATTGAATCTGGTTATCCGTCCTGTGGGAGAGAGAGCTGCAGCCCCTGGAATGGCAGGCAGCAGCTCCAGTCCTCAAGGAGGGGTGTGGCAGATTGTATCCACTATACTTGCCAAACACTTCAGTCCAGCAGATGCAGCAAAAGTCCATGAACAACTTATAAAGGTATTGATTAAGGTTATCTCCAAAATCAGCCTTGGATTTTTTTGACTCTTGCAAATACAGGATCACAGAGTTTGGTCAGTCAGGGCTCAAATATCTACCTAAAAGACCATAAAAATATTTTAAAGTGTGTTTGTTTTTATTTAAAACAATTGCGTATTTATAAAAATCCATTGTATGCTATTAATATAATAAATATTTAAACCCTCTTTAGTAATCATTTTCCGAGGGGTTCAGAATCTTTTAGGTTGGAGGGCCTCTTTGCCATCACCCTAATCTTAAAGCTCCTAAGATTCTAGCAAAGACTGACGTAATGACTCTCAGAAGCTGATTGATTTAATCTTTCGTTAAATAATGATCTTTTTAAATTGAAATGTTTCTCTTATTAAAAAAGATTATTTTAGTCAATAAGTTAATGAACAGCAGTTTTTTTTTTTTATTCTGTTGAGTCATAACCTGGATTCTTACTCATTCAATCCTACAGAATTTGTCTTTAAATTCATGTTTAAACATTTTGAGTAGAAACAAAAGTAAAGGCAGCTCATTTTAATTATATATTATTATATTTTCATACACCTTTTTTTTCTACTTCTTTATGAGGATATGTATGAGAATTTGACTTGTGTGGATGTAGCGTTAGCAACATTAGCAGTTTGCCATGGGTTGTTTACCATCATTAAATGTTGTTTCTTGCATGAAATAAAAGTTACATGGTAAACAACACTTGGACGCGCTTCAGTGGCAGTTAGCGCACACGACCCATGTATGGAGGCCTTAGTCCTCGATGTGGCCGACCCGGGTTCCGATCCGGCCTGTGGTCCTTTGCCGCATGCCTCTCCCCCTCTCTCATACCCCCTTTCCTATCAGCCTACTGACAAAGAAAAACATGAGCCGCAGTGCTGTGGCTGATGGGAATTTTTTTTTTATATTTCATATTACATTAAGCGATCCTTTCTGCATGTTTTGCTCCTACAAGTTTAAAAATAATGTTACGCATGCTCTCCTTTAGCTCCGAGGAAGTCGGAGTGGAGCAAAACGGAAGGAACAGCGGAGAATGTAGGCTTTGCGCAGGTCGTCTGGAGCGGAGGATGTAGGATTTCTGTGTTAGTCCAAACTTTAACCTCTTAAACATAGCATAGATAGGCAAACGTGAAGTAAGTGTGAACATACCGACACAAGACAGTTGAGCTAAAACTGACAGGCCAGGAAAGGAAAGGAGAGCATTAATAAGAAAAGCATCGCAGATTTCCATGTCGTAAACATTCCCAAAGTACATCAATGTTTCTGGTTGCATTCAAGGTTGCCATACTGAGAATCCATTTAATTGTGATATGATTTTTTTTTTATATTCTGATAATTATATTGATTGTGATTAGCCCACATTTCCCCCACTGTTGTTTATATTCCTTCAGCACAATCATTCTTCCAAAAACCTTTGGATCTGGATAACTGAAATCTACCCCCTCCATCCAAAATGTTTTACTAAACAAACATTAAATGCATGCTACCTGAAATATAAACTTTTTTAATTATTGCATCAATTTACTTTTTTTAAATATTACATTAGATGCATTATGATTGCAGTTATTGTGTAGGTTTAGTTGTAATGTGACATGTGGAAAAAGTTCAGCCTTTTTTTAAAGTCTGTACAGATGTCAGGGTTATTTTGATGGAAAGATATAAAAAGTTTTTGCTTTAATTAATGAGAAGGCAGTAAATTTCCTTAATGTCTATTTTTTATTTTTATTTTTTTTTCTGTAGCATAAAGATGTTCAGCTTGATTCCTTCTCTTTCAAAACAAATCTCCATCTTTAATGCTTGTCTTAATTTTTGTTCAGGTCCTATACTAGACCTATGTGATTGGTTGGTGGGATGTTTGCTGTTTGCTCTAACGTGTGAACCCCCAAATATTCTACTTCTAGATGATGATTAAATATTAAAAAAGTATAATACAGTTTATTTTTATTATTTTTTTTTTTTTTGTAAAAACCTTTGTGGAGATATAGACTCTGATTTTTACCCTCCATTTTCTGTACTTGTTCCTGTGTAAGATTCAAGTATGGTAGAATAATGCATATTTGGTGTTTCTTGTTTCTCACTGTGCTCTTTGCCATTCTCCTCTGCTTTAAAGGATTATGAGCGTTCACTTCGACAGCTCAGCCTGGATGACATTGAGCGTTTGGCGGGGAGACTTCTTCACCCAGATGACGAGAGAGTGGACACCTCATACATGGACTAATCTTTAAAACTTCATACTCCTGAATGTTTGTTATTTACAATTATACTCCGTGCTTGAAGATGCAGACAGTGTTTAAATGGCGGGCTGGGAAAGATTAAATGTAATCTGACTTTGAGTGATTCCCTGGTTTCTGCCTGATCACATGGATAACAGGGACAGTTTCTCTGCTTTTTTTAGCGGCTCTACAACAAAGGACTTGGATGAGGACATATGGCCCCTGTTGGGTGGCTTTATCATTAATGTTTTAATAGCAACAGACAGCCTGATCACAGTGTCTGAATAAAGGAATGAATTGTGTTATTTTTACATAACATCGACTGCAATGTTTCCATGGGGGTACTAACTTTACTGGAGGGTATTTATTATAGTCTGTGAGTGATAACTTTTATCTTTTTCAGGAAGTGTGGTCAAAATTCATGTCTTATCCTCTTTATATATGGGTAACCATTGTATGATTTGTAAATATGCTTGTTTATATGTATGTTTGCAGACATTAAAATAAAAATCTTCTTTCATTCCAAGTTATGGTTTGGTCGCTTTCTATTTTTTACCCCTAATCTTTAAAGGATCCTAATAGGGGCAAAACGTTGGACTACGTTGTATGTTTTTGAAAAAGTAAGATTTAAATACAAAAAAATTATAGAAACTGAAAGGGATTTCAAAAGGCGGCACTTTGTAATCGGTGATCCCCTACAGCCAATCAGAAGACAGAAAGACCCGTGATTTTTCCTTTCTGACCAATCGCATTCATGATGACTAATAAGGTACCGCCCCCTGCCATTGAGGGACGGGTTGTACATTCCACTGATAATTTTCAATATCACTTCGAAAAAAATGACTATTTTTTGACATCTTTCTCCTTGTGATAAAGTATGAAAACCCGACAAGTTGGATAAAGGAGGATTTTTATAGAACTAGAAGGTATGTTTCAACATAAGCTGTTTTAGCGGCTAAATTAGCATTAGCAAATCACCCACTTCCTGCTTTTAGCAAGCTGGGGCTGTTAGCTTTTATAGAGTCCTTTAGCCAGTGCTGCTACACACAGCATCGTGCCTTGTTTGTACTCCTGAAATCATGTAGTCCGTTTTTTTATTTAAAAAACAAATATTTGGGTTGCGTTATGTCGAAGGTCTCCTGTCGCTTAGGGATCAGGGCGTTTCTTCCCTCTCATCAGGACCACTTCTGCCCAGAGCGAAAGCATCTTAGCTTTTAGTTAACCACATTTGCAGACCATAATAGCAATAAAGAACTTTCTGACAAGCCTAAACGGTGAAATCATTAACATTCGAACTCTTTTATACAGTATTTTCTCAGTTGCATTAACTGTGTGTATTTCCTTTACATTTTTAACGTGGTTTTCTGCATTCAGGGAGGCTCTGCGTCCTTTGGAAGGATGGAGACTCTTATTCCCACTATTAACCGGCTGCAGGAGGTCTTCCTGACCGTGGGGGCTGAGATCATACAGCTTCCCCAAATAGTTGTGGTTGGATCACAGGTTAGTCATCAGAAAGGACACATCAGCTTATGATGTGTCCTCTGTTTTAACTAAAGGGTATAAAAACTATCTTGCACACGACTTTAAAGTTTGTTGGAGATGTTTATTTTGTGTTGAATTTGAATTTTATACAATTTGTAATGTATTATTGCGATTTTATGTAATTGAAAAATAAATTGTGCGCAATATTTCAGTTGTATGCTAAATAGTCTTGAAGATTTATTTAGAAATAAAAGCCTCTGTCTGAAAATAGCATCTTAATTTCCCAAACAGTGTCAGGATTTTTATAGAACTACACTCCAGCAGCTTATTCTTGGCCTTTCTGCAGTGTTCCTGGCTCTTATTTACGTTCTTTACTATAAATTCTCTCTCTGGAAAAAAAAAACAAAACAGCTCAACTTCTATTTTATTCCACTTTTAAAAAGCCCACATGGGCTTAACTATATTGTTTACTTCTAAAGGTAATCAGTTACTCTTGATTATATGTATATAGTGTTAGAGTCAAGTGGGCTGGCAGCAAATAGATTTCACAAAAAAATGTAATGTGATTTTTATAAAAGTTTCGTTTGCATGATTTTAAAATCAATATTTGTTAGTTTATTTACTCTCTTCTTCCTATTACAGAGCAGTGGGAAAAGCTCCGTGTTGGAGAGTCTGGTCGGACGAGATTTCTTGCCTCGAGGATCAGGAATAGTCACAAGACGTCCGCTCATCTTGCAGCTTATTAACGTCGCCCCTCTGAAGGAGAGGATAAAAACTGAGAATGGTACAGAAATCTTCTCTATTTTATGTAAAAATAAAGTTATTTCAGGTTAAATGTTGGAATTGAGGATGTTTGTGGCTTGAACAAATACAGAGAAGTTATGGCCACTGCTTAAATTAGCTGATGTGTGCTTTTTGCTTTTTCTGACTGTCAAACTACTCTTTATTCCTTGCATATCTGTAATTTCTCTTTTCTAACATGAAGCATTTTTTCCTCTTTTTTATTACATTTTAGGAAATGGAATTAAACAAAATGCTCAGAACAGCTACCCAGGTCTCTGTACATTTAATCTGCATGTCTGCATTCTTCTTCTTCTTTTAAATCTTTCAATCATTCTGTGCAGCATTCAACTTAAATAGTACATTTGTTATGATTTGTTTGCATCATTAGCTTTGATTTATGTCACATTTATTTTGTTAAGAATAATACATTTTTTGTTCAGGGATCAAAGCTGAAGAGTGGGGTACCTTCCTGCACTGCAAGAATCAGGCATGTTTTTTTGACTATTACTTGGTTATGGTATTGTAAGTTAAGTGTAACCCATGATGCATTGTTTTTGGTGTGCTGTTAGATCTTCACAGATTTTCAGGAGATCCGTAAGGAGATTGAAGCAGAAACAGCGCGCGGTTCCGGTGACAACAAGGTATTAATATTTCTTTGATGAAAAGAATCAAACTCTAATTTTGTCCTTTTTGTCCAATTTCTTTACTGTTTGATATATAATCCTTGCTTTCCAGGGAATCAGTCCTGAGCCCATATATCTGAAGATTTTCTCCCCCAATGTTCTTAATCTAACGCTTGTTGATTTGCCAGGAATCACCAAGGTAAATTGGTTTACTTTTGTTGTCTCCTAAAGAGCTGTATATAGTGTTGCACCCCCCAAAAAAGAAAAAAAAAAAATCCCATCAACATTGCGTATGTGCTTTGTATTATATAACATGTGTCAGTTGTCTGTTGTGGTCCCTCTAGGTTCCTGTTGGTGATCAGCCTGAAGACATAGAGACTCAAGTGCAGGAGATGATCCTGTCCTTCATCTCAAACCCAAACTCTCTCATCCTTGCAGTCTCCCCGGCCAATTCTGACTTGGCCACGTCTGATGCTCTGAAACTGGCTCGCGAAGTAGATCCAGAAGGTGAGACATTTTGTTTTCTGAGCCTCGGTTTGAGTTCTTGTTGGGAATATAGAGATCGATGCAGTGATTGTAAAACAGGAAATCTGTATTGTAGGGTTGTGTCTTACACCATATATATATATATATATATATATATATATATATATATATAATTTTTCTGCACTACTTCAGTATCTTCCTACAGGCTGTTGACGTTCAGGTCCATATTCTTTCTTTTATCTGTCAGGTCGTCGGACACTGCTGGTGGTCAGCAAACTGGACCTGATGGATGCAGGAACCGATGCACTTGAAGTACTTCTGGGTCGAGTCATTCCCATCCGTCTCGGGATTATCGGGGTGGTTAATAGGTTTGGAAAACTACATTTAAGTGTTATCGTCTTTTTTTTTATCAACGTTTTCCTCTCTAACTCTGAAAAGATTTTAAGCTGTACTCCATCTGTCTTTGTTCTTGCTAGGAGCCAGCATGACATCAACACCCAAAAGACTCTACAGGATTCACTGAAAGACGAACAAGCTTTTCTGCAACGCCACTACCCCTCACTTGCCTCCCGATCCGGCTCACGCTATCTGGCCAAAACTCTGAGCAGGCTGCTCATGCACCACATCCGGGACTGCTTGCCAGACCTTAAAACCAGAGTGACGGTGCTGAGTGCCCAGTATCAGGCACAGCTCAACAGCTACGGTCAGCCAGTAGATGATCACAGCGCCACTCTGCTGCAGATTGTCACCAAGTTTGCCAGTGATTATTGCAACACCATCGAGGGAACAGCCAGACACATCCAGACATCAGAGCTGTGAGTAGCTCCTCACTCTTTAGAGAACATTGATCTATTTAGCTGTTTTAAGAATCCATATGTAACATAAACCCAACATTGTGATGACTTTTTATTTCTAAAGCCATCATTTTAATTGTTTTGTGCTTTTCTTTTAAGGGACATTAATGCTAAAAATATGTTGATGATGTTGTATAACTTCAAACATAATGCATATAAAAAGTTAATATGCATCATCTTATATTCATGGTCCAGCTATTATAATTTGATCTAAATTTAATGTAATTGGTTAGGCCAATTTTAGGATGCTGAAATCCAGCAAAAATTAGTTAAATAAATCTCACAGAATTAGCATATGGAGCATATTATCGTGTGATTTGGCCTTTATATTTCCCTTTTTTTCCATCCAGTTGTTATGGCCCGGTCTCATATTTAACAAGCAACTTTCCAATAAAGCTAAAAAATGTTGGCTCTTTAAATCTGCTTTTAGATGTTCCCTGTGAGGTCATTTCCAGTTAGGCATTTAAATAACATGCTGTGTGTATTTGAAAGGCTAAAAGGACAGCAGTACTTTGGTAGCTGGCTCTCCCTCACACTTCCTGGCTGGAGTATTCATGTCTGATGTGCTTCCTCTTCTTGACATGAGCTTCCTGTTTTGATAATTCAGTGTCATCACTCTAAATGGCCTTTGCTGTGAGCACACAGGATCTCCTGCAGTGATCCGCTTTTCCACAGATCTGAGAAAACACTCTGACTAAAGATGTTTTGTTTTCAAATTAGGGCTCCAGTTTTTTATCTTTATTTAAACCTCTTTAAACAGGGTTTCCGCAGGTCATTAAAAATCATTAAAAGTCATTAAATAATTTTTTTTTCAATTAAGCCCTGAATTGGCATTAAAATTCATTAAATGTGATTATTTTGGCATTTAAAATGTTTTATTTAGAATAAAAAATGTTTATAAAAACAATTGCTTAAATGATATATATATTTGCAAATATATCGCGATATATTTGCGTGGAACTGCTTTCTGCTGATCGTCAAGCCGTATGTTCAGAAAAGAAGCTCAAGGCTGAGAAAAAGCTTTAGAATGGGGGAAATGCTCATTTCAACAAAACTGGCTCGAAATCGAGGAATTGCAGCCTGCCGACAGTAAAGATGAAGAAGGAATTTATATACGAGTCATGGGTACTTGTTGCATAAAAATTATTTTTAAGAGCATTAAAAAGCATTAAATTAGAGTTTCTCATTCCTGTATAAACCCTGTTAAAACAACCCGGTGGATGTAAAGTGGGGTAATAACTCAGAATGCATAAAATTCCACAGGTAAAATTTTTGCCAATATAGACATGTTAGACATCATTGCAAAGCTTAGATTCTCCACAATTCAACCAACAAGATGATTTTATGGACACAGTGAGAACCAAAGCACAACTAAAACAGATATAGAACCATGTCAAAATGTAAACAAACAAAACAGCCTCATCAACATACTTTTGAAGGCATCCAGAAGCGGTTGTATAAATCCAATCTTCAATTATTTATACTCGATTCGTCCATAAGGGTCCACAGATAAAAAGTAATCCAGCATATTTGTAACAAAAATATTACATCATAAGAAAATCGGCCATAACTTCCGGTTGTTGACATCAGAAGGTTAGCTTATTCTCAGCATCTTACTAGTATTTACTTCTAATACTTATTTCCTCGGCTGTTAGCTCGCAATGTTTGGCATGGTTCTTTACATCGTCTTCCAATCTACAAGACACAGATGTCTGCATGTTTTTATGACACGATTGGAGCCAGATATAGTCCCCGAAATCTCACCTCAGGTTCACTTCCGGTCCACTTCCTGTCAGCCAGTGACGTGCGATATTATGCGTTATTAATCTCTGCTGTTATTGGTTAAGACCACATGGGGTGTTGGGCTTGTAGCCAATGAAATAAGTTTTTGAACAATCTCAAATGTGTCTAGTTTATTTAAAGGGGTACCGCATCACAGGCGTGTGTTCACGCCTGTGAAATGTACATATCAATCTGTTAAATTGCTGATTTGTTATTCCAGCTAAAAAGTATTTTTTGTCTTTTGAAACCATTAATTTCACTTGATCTGGATTTTAAAATCCCTTCCCATCGGAAAACTCAACTGAAGCAATTAGTTGCCAAATCAAAGGTAATGGTGTAAAATAACTAAAATTATAATGTAATTGTGGCCTCACTGAGTATTTCAAGTAAGCTAGTCAAAAACCATAAGTGGGATGAGGTCTGTTCTGCTTATTTCTACTTGTGATAATAATCAAAGTTCAGCTCTTTAGATATTCTGTGCTATAAATCCTCCATCCTTCATCAATAATTAAAAAAATAAGATCATTCAAATTTGTTCTTTGTTTTTTATTTGGAATAAATACGATTTTTAACTTTAAAGTGGAGGATTTTCGCCAATCTTTGACAAGACCCGCCCCCTTAACGTACAGACGTACCAAAAAAAATGCACATGCACAAACTTGTACCTGCTCCCGAGAGGAAACGTCTATTAAACGTGTGCAAGAGCATGCACAAGCCCATTTCTCCTCGTTTAAAAGTTGCTGTTTGCATCACTCATACAAGCTTACTGTACTTTCCAAAAGAAGATTTGCAATTTTTCCACTATGTCAGACTCACCACCGGTGAGTGAAAATGGGGACGAGCACATATGACGGCCTTACGTAAACATCACTAGAATGACTGACAATTAGGAAGACCACTTATTTTGATGATCCACCCCAGGGTTTCCGCGGGTCTTTAAAAAATCATTAAAAGTCATTCAATTATTATTTTTTAAATTAAGGCCTTAAAGCTACAGTAATTTTCAGCGACATCTAACGTCCAGAATGCAGACCGCAGCAACATGAACATCTCCCCCCCACCGCTTCTCCCCCCCAACAGTACGGCGATGTCTTCCATGACGCCCGCATCACCTACCTTCTCAAGTGATGAGGTTTGTTT